AAAAACTTAACCTAGATGCCTAACACACAGTATCTTCAAATCTATTCTGTGTTGATTACAGGCTAACTCCAGCCGATGCAGCCATATGGGGAGTGAATCAGTGGGTGGAAGCTCTCCCCGCCCCCGTGTCTGTAATTCTGCCTCTCAAATAAATATTTTAAAAACATAGAAATCCAGGAACTGGCATCATGGCATAGGGGGTTAAGCCACCACCTACATTGCCTACATCCCATGTGGGTGCCAGTTCAAGTCCCAGCTGCTCCACTTCTGTTCCAGCTCCCTGCTAATGGCCTGGAAAAGCAGAAGATGGTCCAAGTACTTGAGCCCCTACACCCATGTGGGAGACCCAAAGTAAGTTCCTGACTCCTGGCTTTGGCCTGGCCCAGCCCCAGCCGTTATGGCCATTTGGGGAGTGAACCAGTGGATGGAAGCTCTCGATCTGTGTATGTGTATATGCGTCTGTCTCTTCCTCTGTGTAACTCTTTCAAATAAATAAATAAATCTTTAAAAAAGATATCAAGGGAGAGGGGAGCGTTGTGGGTGGGAGGGAAGTTATGGGAGGGGGAAGTTATCGTAATCCATAAGCTGTACTTTGGAAATTTATGTTCATTAAATAAAAGAAAAGAAAAAATAACAAATGTATTCTGTTTGTTCAACAAGTGTTGAATGTCATTAAACAGCAAGCATAGCACTGGAGATGGTGAGTAAGACATTGTGGCCATTTGGGTAGTGTCTCTGACTTTAAAAGAAATAAATCTTAAAAAAATAGAAATTTGAAATTACAAAGAATGGACAAAATTAAGAGTGCTTTCTTTGATAATGCCTACAAAATAGCTAGACCTCTGAAAACCTGTTTAAAGAAGTATGAGAAAACAAAACATACATTTAAGACAAGAAACCAGAAATTCAAGAGTAAAATAAGAGACCAGCACATAATAGATAAAAATGAGAATGTTGTGTGCAGCTATCTCTATGGCAATAAATTGCAAATCTAGAAGAGGGGTTCTCAACCATGGCTGCACACTGTAATCACCTGAAGAGCTTGAAAATGACTGACGTCTGAGACCCATTCCCAGAGGTTGCACAGGTTTGTCCTAGCATGGAGGGAAGATGTACAGTCTGTTGTCTATGGTTATCTCAAGGAAATTGGTGTAGAGGAAGTATAGGGGTAAGATCATTAAATTTGTCTTTGTACTTATTTTGTATTATACACTTGTTACACTAACATGTACTCTGCAACTGAAAAAAAGTCTAATAAAAGTAAAACTCGGTAAAGATATTTTTCAAAGGATAATAATGTTCTGGGATGGGATTGAGGCAGGAAAGGTACTTTCTTTGTAGCATTCTGAGTTTTTCATATTCTCTCAAAAGAGACTGCATATTAAAATGTCTAGAGACTACCAACAGATACAGAAATACACTTGATGTTTGAAAATTACACAGAATTTATGCTGTGATTACAAAACAGATAAAAAATACTTATGTGTATGGACTACGATTGGAAAAGAATAATCCTTTTAATGAAGGTAGGATTGTGATTTTTCCAATTTTTATTAGGAAAGTGTGAAATAAAAATAACTTGCAAGATTTCCATCCTTGTGTAGTAAGTAAATTTGCCCTTTTAAAAAAAAATGTTTTCTTGGGGCCAGTGCTGTGGTGCAGCAGGTTAAAGCCCTGGCCTGAAGCACCGGCATCCCATATGGGCGCCGGTTCTAGTCCCAGCTGCTCCTCTTCTGATCCAGCTCTCTGCTAGGGCCTGGGAAAGCAGAAGATGGCCCAAGTCCTTGGGCCCCTGCACCTCTGTGGGAGACCAGGAAGAAGCTCCTAGTTCCTGGCTTTGGATCGGCGGAGCTCTGGCCGTTGTGGCCATTGGGAAGTGAACCATCGGATGGAAGACCTCTCTCTCTGCCTCTTCTCTGTGTAACTCTTTCAAATAAGTAAATTAATTAAAAAAAAAAAAAAACTAGCAATAGTAAAAGCTAGTTACTGGCCAGGTAGTATAGCTTTAAAAAAAGTTTTTACTTATTTAAAAGGCAGAAAGAGAGAGATCTTCCCCAAATGCCCACAACAGCCAAGGCTGAGCCAAGCTGAAGCCAGGAGCCCACAACTCCATCTAGGTCTCCCACATGGGTAGAATGTGCATTAGCAGGAAGCTGGATCAGAAACACAGGGGCTGGGACTCAAACCAGTACTTTGATCTGGGATGCGCGCATCCCAAATGGCAACTTAAGCCACTGCACCAAACTCCTACATCTAAAAATTATCTTTCTGTACAGTTAAAGCAAGCTGCTTTAGGAGAAACAGAAACCAAAACTCTGAAAGTATGTCACAGTCACTACCTGAAAAGATAACAGTAAAAATCAATATAGGTAAAACGGGTAATACACAAGGCTAAAGGGGCAATGTCAGCTTTTGCTGGCACTACCCAGCCAGAGGGCAAGCCAGAATTGGACTAACCTTTATTTTATTAGGATGGCATAAGGAACTCCTCTCTGGCTTTCTGTGTCCCAGCCTGGGACAGGTAAGAGAGGCTGCTACATTTCTGTGCAGCTGGCAGAGAAGAGGAAGGTGGGCCCCATGCCTTCCACTGACTGGCTACATCAGCCATGGCCTAGATGAGGGGAGAAATAAATTGGAAGCAGACTCATTTCAGCTGCTCAGTTTTCCAAGCCAGCTTTACTAGCTAAGTCACACACTCAATTTTCAACGTGGTTGGAACCCAGAGGGGCAGACAGGTATGATGAGAACCTCCCAAAGTCCAAGAGATGGCTTTGCAATAGCTGCTCTCATTTCAACGATCTTATTTCAAAGAATCTCAGGCAAAAGGAAACAGTTTCTGCATTTAAAGCCAAACACCAATATGAAAGACAAGCAGAAACCGACCCTTCTTGGAAATGCAGTATTACAGGACTAGTTAACAAGTATAGTTAACTAGCTAACAAGTCAACATGTTTAGGTATTTCTGTGGTAATACACATAGCTAAATGCCATCCACAACTCCTAACCAGGTTTTTGGTTATCAACATATCCTAATAGCTTTACACTATCAGCAGGCCACTACCTTCCAAATCCCTTGTATTCACCAATACGAGCAATACAAGTAACATGGGAGACCAACAGAACAGGAAAAATCAAATACAGGAAACTAATTCTTGATTTTGACCTCAAACTTGGTGAACGAAGTATTTCCATCCTGGAGGTCAGAAAATTATTTTTAAATTCAAGAAAGTGCAGACACTGTGCCTACATTGAACAGTGACACTTTCCTTGGTGCTATACTACTGAAGGAGTCAATCACTTTCAGCTTGTAGCAAGTTGGGAATTGTGTGATTAAAGTCTCCTCACTTCTGAGTGTGTGTGCAAGTGTGCATTTGTGTGTATTCCTTGTCTACAGCCAACACTCCACTAGGGTAACTTAAAACAAAATAGGAATTTATTTACAATAGCAAAGATGTCAAAAATAACAGAAACAATATATAACAAATTCAAGAATTATTTTATGAAAAAGGCAAACAATATGTACACAAAACAAAAAAAAAATCCATTGGGTAAACTTAAATTTGACCTTATGTAAAAAGCTGTAGAATATGGCAAAGTGGTTTTTTGGATATGAATTACTTAGTAATCCTGGACCAATTAAACTCTCTTTCTCTCTCTCTCTCTCACACACACACACACAGTTTTGTCAGTCTTTTATTTGCTGCATCTTCCTTCGAGTTCTGTTTACCTCTGAGGAATATGACTATGGGAGGCCATACAAGGCTTAGGAAGTACAGGCTATTTACATGTGCACTAAAGGATATACTTAGTGACTAGCAAGCTACACTTTAAAAGGAGTACAGGCAAGGTAGGAAGTGTCTGCATCTTATTTTCATTGTTCTAATTTGTTTTTGTGATTTTGCCTATCACACAACATGTTGCAGCAGAAATCTTTAAGTTTCTCATGTGCTCTAAAATCGTGTTTCCCAAACTTGAGTATGCATCAAAATCACTTGAAAAACATGTTAAGACCTCTAAGAAGCAAGGCCCCACGCTTGCTTTCGCAATTCAACAAGACTGGGCAGATGAGAATTTGCATCTTCAACCAAGTCCCAGGTGACTACAACGCTGCCAGTGCTGCCATTTGACACCTGAAAACCACTGCCCCAAAATATCAGACTGGTCAAATGAATGCTAAAATATGCAGGAAATAAACATTGTGATTCTCAGAGAACGTAGCAGCATGTTATCCAACTGGTGAAGGGCACCGATAGGTCACCTGCCATTTGCCAGGTGTTCTATTACAACTAAGACTCTCAGCGTGTGATTTGATTTACGGCTCTGGACAGTGACGTTTACCACATTCTCTTTGATCATTTCCCTCACGCTTTGGTTACTTACTGTTTCAACTACCAAACACTTGTTCCTACAGATGAACTACAGACTCTCATCTTTAAAATCAAAGCTGGTGAAAATCTCTTTGGGCTGATGACAACTTCTGCCTGATCTTGGATTTTTGCTATAACAACCATTGTCTAGTGTGTTAGTGTCCTCTAGTGCCCTCCAAACTGGGCACAAAAGATTAACTGGAGGGAAAGACTTCTGCAGTGGAAGTGGGACAGTCCCTACTGAGTAAGTATGCTGTGGATTCGGAAATGAGTCGTAAGTGCTCTCAAAAACCACTTCATGCATGGGTAATTTATCTCTAGGGAACTGGAGATGCTAATAAAACAAATCCTTTATGAAAAGAAAAAAATGAAGTTCAAGGACATGCTCATCAAAGGACTCACCAATCACCTCTTAACTTCTCCGCAATATTACTTGCAAATTTATAAGACTGAAATATTATCAGTATTTGCATCCAAGTCACAAAATTCAAAGCAATCAAGCATTTTGCATTCCACTGCTGCATAAAAGGACTTAAGAAATGGGGGGTGGGGAATGAAAATAATAAACTACTTTTGATGTTTATTAGGTTTACAAAAACTGTACATTTTCCTTAAGAAAAAGCATTAACTTAGTATTGGTATCAAATAGACTAAACGTTTATTAACAGGAAAATATTCTGATTTTTATTTTTGCACGTTATTCTCAAGTACACAATTACAATAATGTCACACATCCCTATATGATTTTCTTTTTATGTATTTTACTTTTTATACAAAGTGTACAGAGGAAGGGTCATACAATATTTAATAGGATATTTCTACAGAACAATAACTTATATTATGTCCTTGTAAAAATCTGTACCTCTTTAAAACATTTAACTGAAACATCCATTTTTTAGCTTTGCTAATCAAAATTGTTTTAAGAATTAAAACTAGGTTGTAACTAATGTCAGTACATAACAGTGACTACAATTTCATTTTCTCTTTATACAGACAAATACATTTTATATTCACTTGACCAAACCCTTAAATACCTTTTAAAGGTTTCAATATTGTGCTTAAAAAAGAAAAGAACGGTGTATGATTCCAGATTACATAAGAGAAATATAAAGAGTGTAAAGTGTTGTGTTCTTTATCTTTCAGTTTATTTAAAAAAATATAAATGACCCAATCATTTACATTTTCTGAATTTTTACAAGATGGTTAAAATTAGTAAATAACCACTTTCATTTAAGTGTCTTCTTTTACATTATTTCTGGGAAAAATAAAAATTACGGGAGATTTTAAAGGTTCTCACAAAAACAGAGCTTTCAAGAATAGTGGGGCAATGAATCATACAGCTGTAAGTTAAAGAAAAAAAAAGCTTGAATGGGGGCCAAGAAGATATTCCCTATAGGATAGTCTAGGAAAAACCAATGCCTTGGCTTTGGCATTTGAGTTCATACCAGCCTTAAGAATTTGATTTAGAATCACCCTTAATTGAATTAGCACTTTAGAGGCTTGCCAAACATCAAATATTTAGATTTCTAACTCTAAAAAATATAACTATTAAATACAAATATGGGTGGCAAAGAGAAAGATGAAAAGTAGAAACCTAATGGCGCAAAGGGGATGGAGCACCATAATGAGGTGGCAAGGCAGCTATCGAGTGGGAAGAAAACTTCTAAATTTCCCATGATGTGCCAGATGTGTGTGCCAACAGCCAATCTAAGGGACCACTCCCAAAACTATATTCTGTTCTCCAAATCATCTTAACAAAATTGTAATTAACTGAGTTCGTTTTATGAATGTATGACTCTGACTCAGGCCCATTTGTTAAAAGATGCCAACTCACAAAGAAAAACAGAACTGTCAAAGACTTGGTGATGTTCCAAATAAGGCCTCAGACTTTCCTTACGCACTTGAAACTCACCTGTATCTTCCAATAAAAGCCAACTTGAGTGTTCTAAAGGTGTTTAAAGTTTGCTAACTGTAACTGTCTAAGGAACAACACAGCAGGCTGAACTTGCCAAGTTAAGTCATAATTAGCACCAGTTCTCTGGTCCATAGAGCCATCGCTACCTCTCTGTCCCCCTCCCTTGGCGAGACAGAATTCTCTCTCAGGCTTCTCAGAGAGAACTGAAGGAGTCACGTCTGGATATTCATTAGCTTTTCAAAAAAATATAAAGGCATGGAGCTGAAATTGTATGAAAACATTCTATCTAGAAATGTCTTAACTTCTATTTCTCAATTACCAAAGATATTTAAAAGAAAATACCTTTACTCTTTAAAAATACTAGTGTCCTTATTTTCCTTCTAATTCTTCACCTGAGTAGTCTCTCTGAAGAGCATGACTTACAAAATGCTCTCTCATGCATCCCTGGATCTTCCGTGTTACTGTAAATTTAATACTTTTCATTATAGATTTTAAACAATTACTACTTGGGGTTGTGTGTTTAAATATGTAAAATAAGCAATACACACAGATACATGTGTTATATATATATATGTGTATATATATAAATCAGGGTACATTTACATATATAAAGTTGCAAAAGATCCTATGAGCCAGGAGTTACCTCTAGCAGATTCCAAAATGCAATCCTCATTAAGTCTCATTTATAGCACACAACCATTCCAAGACAAAGCAGCACAGACAGAAGAATCAAATTACAACAGGATCAAGCCAAATTTTCAATAAGTTTTTCTAAAAGCTTACTACACTGACAAAAGATGTAAATAGTCCAAAGAAAGTCAAAAATATATTTTGTCTGCTAAATAAAATGAAAAGTAAACACAAACCCAGCCACTGTTCTTTACTCAGCGAAGCCAGGGACACAAAAGCTCAAATGGAAACTTTCATTGTAGTATGATCTGAAAATCTTAAGACAAGTAAAGGATTCCCATGTTATGAGAGTTAGACCTGACTGTAATATCTCCCATTTATATTAGTAGATGTCTCTGACAACTTCACTGTGAGAAATCCATGGGGGGGGGGGGGGGGGACAGGGTGGTAATGAATCAACATGAAAACTTTCAGAGTTACCAATCTAAAGTTACCTTAAGTTAAATGGTCTTAGAAGAGTACCATCAAGGTAAGCAAGGTAAATATTTAAATAAATATAAAACTTCTAAGATAGAAAAATTCAGTATAGAATCAGGGATTACTTTATTAAAAGCAACTAGTTTGTTGCTGTTTTTCCCCATTTATTAAACAAACTGAATAGAATTCAGAACACACTACTGAACAAAATGTAAAAAAGAAAGTCAACTAGAAGCAATAATTCTATTTGTACACAGCATAAATCAATATACAGTATTGTATATGAACGACACTAATAGGCTTTAAATTTAACTTTCTGCTTCAAGGCCAGTATCTCTGTAGAAGTATCGCTAGGGCAGGCCAACTTCTTTATGATGTCGCATTATGTGCTGGTTCTTTTCTGAAGGTCTTCGGAACCCTTTCTTGCAGTACTCACATCGGTGAGGATAGTCCTTCGTATGAATGGAAATAACATGCCGTTTAAAGCCTGAGGCGTCTGTAGTGCTATACTCACAGTACTCACACTGATACACTTTCCTGCCACTGTGTGTCTTCATATGCTTTTTAAGCTCATTCTGTTGTCTAAATCCCTTTCTACATCTCTTACACCTAAATGGAAGATCCTTTGTGTGAACTGATAGAATATGGCGACTTAGAACAAATGGATCTGCAATCTTAAAGTCACAATGTCTACACTGGTGCATTTTTTTACCCTTGTGGGCAGCCACGTGTTTCTTGAGTTCTGAAGGCCGGTGAAAGCCTTTATCACACATGTCACACTTGTGGGGGTAGTCCTTTGTGTGAACTGAAATAATGTGTCGTTTCAAATCACTTGAGTTCGAACTCTTGTGGTCACAATGCAAACACTGGTGTGTTTTGCTTTCTTGGTGGATAAGAGCATGTTGCTGCACCTCTTTGGTATCTGAGAAAGTCAGAAGACAAATGTCACACTTGAATGGCATCTCTTTACTATGCTTAGTCTTTACATGCGTTTTCAAATTAGAAGAGTCTGCAGACCTATATTCGCAGTACTGGCACTGGTATGGCTTCTCGCCAGTATGGATTCGCATGTGCTTTTTGAGCTCTGATGGGTGACGGAAACCTTTACCACACTCCACACAAATATGAGGAAAGTTCTTGCTGTGGACTGCCAAGAGGTGGCGATTCAATAACCCTTGTTCAGCTGTCTCATATTCACAGAATTTACACTTGTGCATTTTGTTGGCTCCTTTTTCCTTATGCACCATTTTGTGAGTAAACAAAGCCCCAGCATGAGAGAAATGCTTCCCACACTCATCGCATTCGATAGCTTTCTCCGTCTTGCTGGTCAGCTTGTGGCTCTCCAGGTGGTTGTGTAAACTTATCTTCTTGTTGGTAGTGTAGTCACAGTCAGTGCAGCGATACTTCTTCTTGGTAAGGTGCTCAGGGTGGTTTTTCATGTGCCTTTTCAAGAAACCTCTGGACTTAAACTTCTTCCCACAAATCATGCAAGGATAGACAGTCAAGGGATGTCCATCAGGGCCAATTATTATTGCTAAGAAAGGAAAAGAAAAGTGTCTAAGTGATCAAACCAAGTTCTGCTTTGGTTTCTTCAAGAATTTACATTGTGTGTTCTGAACACTAATGGCCAAAGATTTCTAAGTTAAGCTATTTGCTATTCACATTCCTTTCACCATCTTTCCACATATGAAACGTAGCAACCTAGTCAGAAAGAGAACTTTGTCTGGAAATGTCATTTAGTAGGACTACAATGACCTCACTCCTTTCAAATTAACAAAACTAAATATGTAACACATATCAATTTAGAAATCTGTGGACAATTATTCATAAAGTTTGTAATCAAAAGGGTTAGTGTGGTGGCACAGTGGGTTAAGTAACCACCTGCAACACCAGCATCCCATGTGGGCACCAATTCGAGTCCTGGCTGCTCCACTTCTAATCCAGCTCTCTGTTACTGCACCTGGCAAAGTAGCAGAAGATGGTCCAAGTGCTTGGGCCCCTGCCACCTATGCAGGAGACTTGGATAATGGAGTTACTGGCTCCTGGTTTCAGCATGGCCCACCCCTGGCCTTTGAGGCCATTTAGGGAGTGAACCAGTGGATAGAACATCTCTCTCTGTCACTTTGCCTTTCAAATGAATAAAAAAAAAAAAAAAAAAAAAAAAAAAATTGGGGGCCAGTGCTGTAGTGTAGCACCGGTATCCCATATTGGCAGCAGTTAAGTGCCGACCGATTGCTCCACTTCTGATCCAGCTCCCTGCTAATGTGCCTGGGAAAACAGTGGAATACGGCCCAAGTCCTTGGGTCCTTGTACCCACGTGGAAGATTCGGATGAAGCTCCTGGCTTTGGCCTGGCCCAGCCCCAGCCATTACAGCCAGCCATTTGGGGAGAAAAATCAGTGGATGGAAGATCTCTCTCTGTCTCTCCCTCCCTCCAACTTTTTCAAATAAATAACTAAATCATTTTTAAAAAGTCTGTAATCATATGTAGATCAGTAACATGAACAGACAAGGAATATGTCATATGAAGTACTTATTCAGTTGCTCTGTAAATTACATCTGCTCTATGCTGACATAATTATTCTTTAAATAAATATAAAGTTGATACTTATATTTGAGGGACATTTTTCCATTTCCATACAAAGTCACTCAAGTTTTGAACTTTTATCCATGTATGATCCATTTCCTATTTCTTTTTAATCTAAGGTAATCATTCATGAATATCAATGAATTCTGAAAATTATATTCTCAAATTCAATACACAAAAGGTACAAGTGGTCTAGTAGCTAAAATGCCATCACTACACCCCTGTGGATACATACTAGGGTTTTATCTGAGAACTCACTGCGCGGTGGAACTTGTGTGCCCTCACCTGTTTGGTACTGCCTGGAATCAGGTCTTCTCCTTTTCTTTGGTTTTTGTTTAGCCAGTCTGCCGAGGCCAGCAGACTCATCTATGTGCAAGAGGGCACTTGCAGTGCCATTCCGGTTTTCAATTCCATCAGAATTATTACCTAACAATGCGCATTAAAAAACAAAATTATACAGTATTATAAATTATAAAGAATTAGGAATTCTTTATTAACTACAACAATGTAAAGAAAGCCATGATACTCATGAATGACAGAAATTCCTCAAACTTGGTAATGGGTCATATGAGCATTTATTATATAGTGAGATTGTAGGGAATGCCTGGCTGCCAAAGCTAATAAACACCTGTCCGCATTTTGCCCTATGGACTCTCTTGTTGTCTCCCAAAACTGACAAGTCACGGGCCAGATATAATCAAGATGAAAATTTTCAGCTTGAAAGCCTATGTATTTTTTGGAGTACTTCCTTCAACGTTAATACACACATGAAGGAAATTTCTGGTAAAAATAAAAACAAAAAGTAGACTTCATGATCTTCCTCTGCTCGTCTTCAAATCAAATAACCCTTACTGGGTACTGGTATTTCAGAGTTCTGAAACCTAAGACCACAAAAACTGTTTTTCAATCATGAAATTCATGTTCAAGACCAACTCAATCAATGCTTCAAGTCCCTCTGTGACTCACCATAAGCCGCTGCCCATGCGATTGGCATGAAGGTTTTGATTTCACTGTCATCCATTTGCTGTTCGTGCACGGCTGCGGCTGCGGCTGCAGCGTCCTCCTCTCCTACTATCACTTCCATATAAACCTCATCAGCAATTTCAGCGACATCTAAATAGAAAAGTTTTAAAACCTTTGTGACCAGGTTTAGAGATCACAGGAAAGATATTTTTATTTAAACTCAGTTAACAGGTAAATAAGGTCCAAATATTACATACCCAGAACATAGTTTTCACGTAGTAAGTACCCAATACATGTTTGCTGAATGAATCATTCATTCCTTGGCTTACACCATAACTGGTATTAAAGCAACATTCTAAACACACATAAAGAGTCACTCGTGATTCCCTGGGAATATGGCAGCATAATCTCTAAAATAATCCTACTTGTTTCCTTCAAATAGTGACTGTTTTTTAAGAAGAACTACCGAAACAAAATTTTCTCCCACAAAAAGGCCACCTACTTACTTAAATCTTCATCTTCTTGCTGGGAGTCGTTGACAGTCATATAAACCATCTTTTCCCGGGGAACGCGAATACTGCTGTTCTGATCAAGTAGTTCAACTCCATGATCATTCTCAGGCTCACTCTCCACAATGTCTACAGTTCCACCTAATAGGAAAGAAGATGGCTCCAAGAATTTATTTGAAAACTTCATTTCTACCTATTCCTTGTTACATACTTTACTACTACATTGGAAATCTTGTTTAAAAGTTATCTTCAGAGGCCGGCGTTTGTGGTACAGTGGGTTAAGTCGCTGGCAATGCTGGTATCCCATATGAACACCAGTTCAAGTCCCAGCTGCTCCACTTTAAATCCAGCTCTCTGCTAATGTACCTGGGAAAGCAGTGGAAGATGGCCTGAGCACGTGGGCCCCAGCTACACATGTGGGAGACCCAGATGGAGTTCCTGGTTCCCAGCTTCGGCCTGGCTCAGCCCTGGCTGTTGCAGGCATTTGGGGAGTGAACCAGCAGATGGAAGAGATCTCTCTCTCTGCCTCTCCTCTGTCACTCTGTCTTTCAAATAAATAAATAAATCTTTTTTTTTTTTTAAAGTTATCTTCAGAAAATATTTCAAACATTCTGCATCTAAATAACCCAAAAGTAATCAGGTTCAAGTGTTTGCATCAGGATGCATAAATGCTAAAGGTATCCTATTACCTAAGTCATCCTCTCCAGGATCAGCTTTAAAAATGTACACCTTGATGACTTCAGGGCAAGTGCCGTCCACTTTACAAGGATCGATTTCCGACTCTGCGTCCATGTTCATTCCAGAGGAACCATCATGTTCTATTTTGCCAGCATCATCCACTAAACAGGCAGGAAATACATCACATATGGTAACAGCAGATACTTAAATAAAATATTACTGCTTTTGAAAGTCCTTTTTACAAGCAAAATCCCTAAGCCAATCACCTAAAATTCGATATTTTTACACAGAAAAGATTCAATAAATAACATTTTTAAAGATTTCTAAAAATGGGATCAATTATTAAAGCAAAAATTACTATACATAGAGAAAACTTCTGGAATTCCAAGAAACTATTAAGTAACAAAAGAACACACTTTGTCTTTCCTTAGGCATAAAGTAAAAGCATTCCTAAATTATTCTTTTAATATTTAAAGCGAAGACCTTGAAAGAAACCAATCTTTATGTAAATAGTATAGAAGCACTACTTCATCATCACTAAGATTCTTGAATATCATTTGATCTAATCTATTTCCATTAGGAAATACATTTAAAAATCATCAAAATAGGATCGCCAGAAAGGTAAACTGCAACGAGACAGCCAGCGGCAATTCTAATTCAATCTGCTTAAACTCAAAACGCTATACATAATCTGTAATACATAATCTGTAAGTATGCACATCTCTCTCTTCTCTCTCTTACACACACACACACACTTTAGTTCATGACAACAATGAGTCTAGGTCCTTACTGGCAAGCGCAGTAATATGTGAATTCAAACATTCTCATATACCTATTGCCTTTCTTACTGAAGGTAGGCTTGTGTTGTATTTTAAAAAAAAGAAAACAAAAGTATACATGATTCCCAGTAGTAGAAAAATCTAGGGCTATACACACAAAAAAAATTTTTAAAGCTTTAAAAAAGTAGCCAAGAAGAAGTATGCTATTGTGATTATGACTTGGAAAATAAAACACAAAAAAATGTCTTAAAAAAACATTCTGGGGGCCAGTGTTGTGGCACAGTGGGTAAAGCCGCGGCTTGCAACACCAGCATCCCATATGGGTGCCGGCTCAGGTCCTGGCGGCTCTACTTCTAATCCAGCTCCTTGCTAACTGCCTAGGAAAAGCAGAAGGTTGCTGCAGTGCTTGGGCCCCTATATGCCCACTTCGGAGACCTGAAAGAAGCTCCTGGCATTTGGCTTCGGTCTGGCTCAGCCCTGGCCATTGTGGCCACTTGGGGACAGCGGATGGAAAGATCTCTTGCTCTCTCTCTTCCCTCCCCCCTGCCTTCTCTGTAACTCTTTCAAAAAAAAAATCAGTTTTTAAAAAATACTCTGGATTTGAATAAATCCCAAAAACATAATGCAGTGTTACATTACATATCACTTATGGGCATTTATAGCACAACAAAAGGGTGGCAAAGACTAATGACTACTTCGTACCCAGTATTTAATCATAGAAGATGGACTCAGCAATGTTGAATCCATTAGAAAAACAGTGAAGGAAAGTGTTCTCTGTTCTAGGGCCAGCTGGCCTATCTGGCACAGAAGACCAAGCCAAAGGGAAGAGGACAAAGGTCCAGAAAAGAAGGTTCATTTAGCTTGCCTTCAGTACACCCAAGCAGCCTTTTCATTTCCCTTTTCCTTTTTAGGATCCTTTCTGGTGTTCTCTGCTGGACACATTTGTCTTGCTTTTTTGACTGGACATTTATGTTTTACTCAATTTAGCAAACAATGAATCACAACCATAGTTAGACTCCAGGCTAGGTATCTGAAATACAACTTTGAAACGTGACAGACTCCAGAAGATCTAGTGAGAAGGTAAGTGAACAGATGATTGTTTTTAAGTGAATTAATCATAACATAGCTACCATGTGTGAGGCGACTATGTTAAGTGCTAATCAATATTTACAATAACCCTGTGCGGGAGGTGGTACAAGATTACCTACATTTTACAAGAGGGCAAAATGAAGTGTAAAGAGTTGAGTAATTTATTTGGAATAGCACAGAACTCAGATCTCGAGCTATATGGGTCTTAATCAGAGATCATCAACTTCTAGAGTTTGGAGAATGAGACAGAAATTGGTAAAGGCAACTGTGATTTTTCAAAGATCAATAAATAGCACAATTATCTAAAGGTGTTTTCTTTCAGTGGAAATCAGAGAAATGTGCTCATGACTGAAGCAGGCAGTTAGCACTGCAACCAAGGCTAAGTGGGGGTGTTTTTGTCTATTGTAACATTTTAAATTCATAGTCACCTCTTGTGTCATCCACAACCATTATATTAAGACTGAACTCAGATTGTGACATCTTTGAAACAATACTTCTGTAAAAATTTGCTATCATGCTCTCTATAAGATCCAAAATTTTCATTTATCAAATTAAGTCTTATGAAGAGGGGCTGGCACTGTGGCGCAGCGGGTTACCGCCCTGGCCTGAAGCGCCGGCATCCCATATGGGCGCCGGTTTGAGACATGGCTACTCCACTTCCTATCCAGCTCTCTGCTATGGCCTGAGATAGCAGTAGAAGATGGCCCAAGTCCTTGGGCCCCTGTACCCGTGTGGGAGACCTTGAAGAAGCTCCTGGCTCCTGGCTTTGAGGCACAGCTCCGGCCGTTGTGCAGCTCTGGCTCTTACGGCCAATTGGGGAGTGAACCATAGGATGGAAGACCTCTCTCTCGCTGGCTCTCCTCTCTGTGTAACTCTGACTTTCAAACAATAAATAAAATAAATCTTAAAAAACAATTTTAAAAAGTCTTATAAAGAATATCCAAATGAATCTAGTATCTCACAAGTCAACACTAAATAGTAAAAATCAGTGGCAATTTATCAGATTGGCTTCTGGCTTATTTAGAAGACCATCCACATCCCAAATAAATCACTTGTCAAGAACTATTTGTAAATAGCATCCCCAAAACCTTTCTTAATTGTCATTTACAAATACTAAAATTATAAAATTTAATCATCTTGCATCAAATGCAAAGGGCAAGAACCCCAAACTCTGGGCCACCAAAAGTAGTTTGCTGTTTTTGTCTATTTATGACACTCTAAGATCATCACACAGCAAACTATATTTAAATATATATTCACCTTCAAAACCAAACATGCTGCTTAAAAATATACTTGTTGATACATTAAACTTTTTCTTGCATAATTTAAAGCAAATTAAAATGAAGGGTCATTTATGGAGAAAAAAGCAAAAGCTTGTTTACATATATCATAAGATGATACTACACTTGAACTCTCTAATGCAATCTTGGATAATAAATTGATACAGAATATGAAAGAAGAGCAAAATCAGAAATGACTAGCAGAGGCCAGCTCTGTGGTGTAGCGGGTATGGCTGCTGCCTGCAACCCTGGCATCCCATATGAGCGCTGGTTTCAGTCCCGGCTGCTTCACTTCTGATCCAACTCCCTGCTACTGGCCTGGGAAAGCAGTGGAAGACAGCTCAAGTGCTTGGGTCACTGCTGCCATGTGGGAAACGCAGAAGCAGCATCTGGTTTCTGGCTTCAGTGTGGCCCAGCCTGGCTATTATGGCCATTTGGGGAACGAACCAGAAGATGAAGAGCTCTCTGTCTCTCCCTCTCTGTAACTCTTTCAAATAAACAAAATAAATCTTAAAGGAAAAAAAAAAAAAAAAAGAAGAAGAACAGGCAAACATTACACTGTGTTCTGACAGCTGCCATGGAAACAAAGGAAGGATAGCACACTCACAACTGGGAGAGAGAGAACAGTATTTACTTCAGGTCAAGGATTCAGCAGGGACAGTGGCAGAGAGACATGAAATGCATGATGGTCAGGAAGGCTCAGTACTGCTGGGCTACAAGGGTAAAGTAAAGTGCAGCACGGGGAATGGCAGGAAATATAGCTAAGACTAAACTGAGGTCAGCTCATGCAGGGCCTTGTGCACCAGGCAGAAGGGCTCAGACTTGATCCTGGTAGGCTGGAGATTTCTCAATCTGGACAGGAATCAAAATTTGTTAGAAAAGTTCAACAACACTGGCTGAAGCATGGCAGTTCTACAGAATCAGAAACTACAGGGGAGAAGCCTGACACATACAGACAGACTCAGGGACAACAGCCTTGGATTTCTGATCAGCGGTCTGAGAATCTCTACTGTCAGTGACAGGGAGACTTTTTTTTTTTTTTTTTTAAGACTTATTTATTTGAAAGGCAGAGTTACAGGGAGGAAGATGCAGAGGCAGAGGCAGAGAGAGAGAGAGATCTTCCATCTGCTGGTTCACCTCCCAAATGGCCACAAGGACCACAGCTGTGCTGATCCTAAGCCAGAAGCTTCTTCCAGGTCTCCCACGCAGGTTCAGGGGCCCAAAGACTTGGGCCATCTTCTAGTGCTTTTCCAGACCACAGCAGAGAGCTGGATCAAAAGTGGAGTAGCTGGGTCTTGAACCAGCACTAATAGGGGATGCTAGCACTGTAGGTGGTGGCTTTACCCACCGCACAATAGCTCAGGCCGATAGGGAGACTTTTATGCAGAGCAACTGACAAGGCAGATCCAAAGTTCAAAATTCATGAAGCAGGCCGGCGCCGTGGCTCAATAGGCTAATCCTCCACCTTGCGGCGCCGGCACACCGGGTTCTAGTCCCGGTTGGGGCGCCGGATTCTGTCCCGGTTGCTCCTCTTCCAGGCCAGCTCTCTGCTATGGCCAGGGAGTGCAGTGGAGGATGGCCCAGGTGCTTGGGCCCTGCACCCCATGGGAGACCAGGAAAAGCACCTGGATCCTGGCTCCTGCCATCGGATCAGTGCGGTGCGCCGGCTGCAGCGGCGGCCATTGAAGGGTGAACCAACGGCAAAGGAAGACCTTTCTCTCTCTTTCTCTCTCTCTCACTGTCCACTCTGCCTGTCAAAAATAAAAAAAAAAAAAATTCATGAAGCAGGGAGACCATTTGTGAGTCTACTTCAATAACGCGGGTGACAGATGCAAGGTCTTGAATCACGAAGAGGTAGTGCAGGTAGGCTTGTTTCCTGTTTTGGGACTAATGTGAGCAGGACTTGGTGCCCAACTGAAAACCAAATCTGAAACGGAGTCAAGGATAACCCTGGAGTTTTGACTCAGGTGAATGAGTGGGGTGAGAAATGAGGAAACGGGTCTTAATTTAAGT